CTGAGGCAAAGTTCTCCTCTTGCGCTCGCCGTAGGACGTGGAGTGGCTGGACTCACTGATTTCAGCTGAAAGAAAGGACAATTGATTTTGGACAACGTGAGTTCTGAGAGGGACATATTACATTTCTGTGGAGTCACCGCTGATTCACTGTCCTCCAGAGGAACCACGTTAATGACAAAGGTTACTAAGCACTAGAAACAAAGGAGTGCATTTGAATATTGCCGGGTACGACTCGTAAAGATATATGATTATGTAGATAAGAACTTTAAACTGATAGATAAGAACTGTCCTGATGATCTGCTCTCTTCTCAGCATCTTTATCTCACACTGTCTCTAAACCATGCATCACAGCATGTCTCACGACCGTCTAGAGAACCTTCCTAGATCCACAAAGGCACAACTCCATCTGAGCCTTTCATCAGTTCTTCAAATAGTAAAGAAGAAGTAAAATTAGGTAGATAGATGGATGGATGGATGGATGGATGGATGGATAGATGGATGGATAGTAACCCCTCCTATGGTGTTTCATGCCTGGGTTAAATACTTAGGACACATGTCCGTGTGTGTTGTAAAATATACACTGACAATAACAATGACAATGACAACGTCTTCTTTTCCAGACAGTGTTGTCTGTCAGTTTTTGTAAAAACAATGTTTTTGGTAGCTGCTACCAAAAAACTGTCAATAAGCATGGGTTAAACCGCAACAATCAGCATTTCCCAAAGCTGAAAAACAGCTGTTTTTAGTTCACCGTCATGGAGGAGTAAAAAGAGCAGAAAGTACAACCAGCTCAGTGATGCCCCCTGTACCTCTGTCCTCTGTAACAACAAGGTGACCCTCTCCTCCTGACCCCTCTGGGTCTGTTCTGATGTGACTGGCAGCCAGAGTGGCCCACTGTGAGACCCAGCGAGGGCCGCCAACCATCAGTTCATCAGCGAGGACCTGCACAAAGACACAACAGAAGGATGAGGTCATCTGGGTACAGACACGGTCTGTGTTGGTTGGCTTTTAAACCAGAAGACAATGGGCTGTTTTCAGTTTACACAGGTCACATGATGAGCTACAGTTAACACACACACACACACACACACACACACACGCACACACACACAATGGTGAGCTGTTGGCACCTCTGTCTCCAGGCGTGCAGGTTTTCCTCTGTCCCCTGTCCCAGACGTTTGGACGGTAAATCTGCTTCTTTGGTCGGGAACTCTCGACAAACACGAGACCTCCTGTTCGACCACACCAAACACCTACGACACGAGCAAAACCTCAAGGTCAGGGGTATTGAAATACATAAAAAGCTACATATGTCAAAGCAAAACATAATAATGTCACATTTAATAAAATAACATAGAACGACTCACTGGGAAAGTGTGGATGAGTGTTCAGCTGTTCTCACTTACAGACTATTAGCTATACATGCTAACAGTCCAAAACACACACAATGAAGGGAAGAAACTCCTTTTCATATATCCCAATCAGGACCACGGGCCACCATTTGAGAACCACTGATCTAAACCTAGTGCATGACAGTGTCCTAAGAGTGAAGTGGGAGGAAGTGAAGATTTCTCTCAACCCCACCTTGTCGATCATTTTCCTGGCTTCCTCCTCCTCGTGGTCTCCATTCTCCAGCTCGATGGTGTAGGTTCCCCTGTCACTACAATCATCTCCATGACGATGGCTGTCCTCCGGCCCACTCTGCTGGAACCATGCCGTGGTTCCACAAATCCAACCTCAACTTTGGAGGATTTGCGGCGGCGTGCAGGACTGTCCTCCTCAGCGAAGAGCCCCTCGGGTACGTTGGCGCGTCCCTCTCTGATCCTCATCCCCCCGGCACTGCCCCACAGGCCCCAGGAGCGCTCCACAGCTGCGGACCTGCGCTGTTCGCCCAGGGCGTTCTCAGAATCACTCTGTGTGCCGTCCTCGTGTCTACTGCCTGACAGAGGTTGAAAATAAAAACCCGATACCAGGTTGTGTGAGTGCAGAAGGACGCCCTCCAGTGTACATAGATGTGCTTTGCAGTGGATCTTCAACATTAAAGTGAATATAGAGTTGGCCTCCTACCTTTGAGACTCCTCAGGTGAACAGGAACATCGCTCTTTGTACTCTCACCATCATCCTCCGCCACTGTCTCTTTAAGAGCCAATGGTAACTCGTTCTGGGCCAGCCAGTCAGCAACCTTCACCTCCGCGGCCACCATGGCCGACTGCAGTGGACTCAGCTCCTCCCCAACTGGTCTTTTGGGGCGTGGTTTAGTCTCAGGTCCCACTTTTGCCACACGGTCTTTGACAGTGACTTTCCCTGTCGCCAAAGGGTCAAACTCAATGGTGAAGGAGGCGTGGCCATGGGCCGGCTCCATATCTTGTTCCCGTGCCTGGGCCTCACCGGCAACTTTAGTTGAAGAGGGATTATCCTTGGATGGAATTTCAAAGTAGCTGGGCTCCTGAGCGGAGGTGGCTGGTGGGGCAGATTTCTGGGTCTCGCTTTTCTTACTGTCTGTAAAAACAAATGTAAACGTATTTATTTGACGCAAAAGTCTAATAAGAACTTTGCTCCTACCGGCAGCTGCTTCATGGGATAATGACATGCCTTACATAAAAAAAAACTGGTTTAAGAAAGCATCCAAGGAGGCTCTGTCACAGTAGTGTACCTGCTTCAGCTTTTTCGCTCTTGCGCTCCGAGCTCTTCTCCTCCACCCTTCCTGGCTGTTGATCCTCACCGTCTCCGTCTCCCCACCACGCAGGCTGACCGTACAGGGGAGTGCCTCTGTGCAGCACTGCTATGTCCACTGGCAAAATCAGACGTTCATTGACATTATTTAATCATTAGTTCATTTTTTTCTTTTCACTCTTTGTTGAAACAGACATATGAACTTTCTGACAATGTGGAGAAAAAAAGGGAGTTTTTCCAAACTGTCTTCATGGTGAAGCTGAGTGTGTGATCTATTTTAGACTACTTCAACAGAGCTTTGCTTTGGTGTTTTGTTTTCGTACAATCCTATCATTCATTCACCAACTTTTCAGTCGTTAGTTCATTGTAACTGTGACTGTGTCCGTGGAGCTTCACCTGCTGCCCTGTCCTCCTGTCTGTTGTTCTCAGGTTTGACTGACGCTCCCTCACACACTGCTGCTGCCGATGCTGCTGCTGCTGACACGGCTGCTTCAGAAGGTTTCACCTCTGCTTTAGCTGGCGCTGCTTCTGCAGGCTTCTTCTGGTTCAGCTGGAGCTGGCTGCTCAGTTTCTCGTGCTAATGGATTAAGAAAAAAAAGATTACCAAAAAAAACAAAAACATTAACATTGGCTAATGTTAGGTAAATCGGAGATAAATGTCTACTAAAGTTAGTCTAATTGCGTTTTGCCGACAGAGAAATCTCTGTATTTTTAGCTCAGGGTTAAAGAAGAGCAACTACGAGCTGGGCTAATGCTGCCTCGTGTGGCCAGTTTGTGTCAATAAAATTAATCTTATTAAAGGATTTCAAACACAAAATTAAGACAAACTCTTACTGATGGAAGCAGCAGTGGATCAATAACATCTCCATCCTGACAGGAAGAAGATCGGATTAACATGCCGAATCACCCACCCACCCACACACACACACACACACACACACACACACACACACACACACACAGACACTTCAGCAACAGGTGCCCTAGCTGGAGTGTCTCACCTTGAGGGCCTCCTCTGGAATCAGCAGCTCCCCTCGCACCACAGTGAACAGGTTGGTATGTGAGGCAGGTTAAGGCAGTAAGCTCTCAGCTGGAGTGTGGGACGTGCACTGATAGCCTTATCTATTATACAGTAGGCAGTGTACATTCACAGGAACAGATAAAGTTACAGCGTGGTCCGTGTTCACTGACCTTTTACGGTCGGTCTCTGGGTTTGACAGATAAAAACAAAACAAGAGCACGTTTGAAGGATATCGTATCCAAACCTCAGTTTGTCGTCCATTTTCAGCGTGACATAAATTTGCTCCTGTATCCTGACGTCGTTGACAAAAGTCTGTGGACAGAGCAGCACAGTGAGTTAACCCACGGTGAGATTATGGTCTGCAGCTGAGGAAGAGCATGAGGATGAGAAATAAATCCTAAATTTACATCTGGGGAAACATTTCCTCTTCAGTTTTTAACGATGATTAAATTGTTTTGTGTATTCACATCTTCAGTGTCTTGTGTTTAAACTGTGCCCTTCATTAAATTGCACCATCATTAATTAAAATGTACCATCAATAATTAAAATGTATCATCATTAATAACCTTGTGAAAAGTGAGAGTTAGTCTTTGTTGACCACAGATGAGGAAAGAAACTCAATCTGGGGAGAGAATTATAGGAATGGAGAAACGAAATTTAAAAAAACAATACGTTATAAACATAAATGTCAACTATTCTGTTATTTATATTTCTTCTCATACGGATATTTACAGGTGCAAAAACTATACACTGTGTACTGTGTACTCTGAGTAGGTGACTGATATATTTTTGAATTTTTATTTTAACCTCTAAAGACCCACCTCGCCTTGGGGTTGACCCCTGGGGGTCAACACAGGTGCTGCAGATTTAGATTTTAGACAATGGTAAAGAACATTTACAGACAATTGACTCACTCCATTCAAACTGCCCAGGTCTTTGACTTTGTGTTCGTCTGCGTTTGGCTCATAGTTGATGACGGCGTGTTGTTTGTCCACACTGCGAGACTAAATGAAATCACACCAAATCAGAGCCATTTATAACAAACCAGACAGCCGTCCAACGGGAGGGTGCATTTCATGATGTGTCCAGTGGAGTCGCTGTTCCCTACCTGCAGCATGAGCTCACAGTCGTCCCTACCTACGAAGATCATCTCCCTGGGGAGACGGTGACGCGTCCCCCCACCGCTCACCAGGAACCAGGAGGTCAAACTCATCTCTGCTTCAGGAGTTCAACGCGAACACTCACTTCATCCTGGAGGGAACACGGAAAACACAGCTGTCCTGTTATCACATCATAGATCGTCCTCAATCACTCACTCATCCATCCATCCATCCATCCATCCATCCATCCACCCCCCTGAGTCCCCCTGTTTTCTGAATAATCAGAGTGTTTACAGTCCTGGCAGATGTAAAAGACTCAGCCTCATGTAAAGTAAATCCTGCAGCAGAGCCATTTCCTCCACATCTGTGCATGTGTGTGTGTCATGTTGCACGGCAGCGGCTATTTTTGGTTTCACCGGAGGACCTTGACATGTCTACCTCAGTCTGAGCCGCGGCCAACAACATCAGAGGAAAACCAATGAGTGTAAATGTCCACTCACCGCTCACAGAATTCCAGGCATCCTACTGAATTTCCTAATTGAATTCCATCCTCAGAGTCACCAGATCCAAGACCAAAGACACCACTTGAAAAGAGAAGAGAAAAGAAAAGAGGCGAGGGGTATTTAACTAAATGAAGGCGAAAGTGAGAATAGTGTGAGAATAATAACAGAGGAGTCAGGATGACGGGGACAGCTGCTAATTTAATTGGATGTTCTGTAGAGTTGGACAGTGCACACACACACTTAACACACACTGAACACACTGTGAAAACACACTGCCAGGAAGATAAAGACACTCCCAGAAAGACAGAGCGACACGACATCAATACTTTTCGACCTGTCTTTGGTCTGTGGTTCTTAAACATACAGACCTGGACCTACAGACTAGATCTGATATTTAAAAAAATCACCAGGCGAAAACAGCACCCACTTCAATGTTATGGAGTGCTATTCCATCATCTACTACCACATAAAGAGTGGCAGGAAGAGCTAACGCCAACACCTGGAGAGGATGCAGTTACAGCCTGGACAATTATCCAGTCCTTCAGTCCACATATAGAGAAACATAGGGGTCCAGCAGGGGTCTCAAACTCCCAGCACGAGGGCTGAAACCCTCATATATACCCCAAGACATATCACATTTAATATGTATAAAATATGTTTCAAAAATGCTGTTTGGACCATAGTGTTATACAGTACTTCTTCAACAGAAAATGCTTTGTTTATATGATTACATTGAAAACTCAGATGGCCATGTCAGGGGTCTCCAACCTCAGTTTGAGATCCCTGAGATGTCCTCTTTTTTTTTCCACTTCTCCTCGTCTCACCACAGATCATTTCAGTGGCCAGCCCAGCAGATCACGTCTCATCAGCAGCTCAAAGAGCCTGCTGACTCACGCGCCAGAAAAGAAGCCACAGACGAGTTAGTCACATTAAATTAGGAACAAAGTGTGTTATCTGGGATTCCTGTCTGTGCCTCAATAGGACTTGACAGTTTTCCCTGACTGGGCCTGGCCTCCCCTGGTCTACTCTGGTCCGGTCCTTCCTCTGTGGTTAGCCTGCTTTCTTCCCTAATGGCCTGTATTAGAAAATAATACTTTGGTCACACACATCTCCATCACTCTCACACACGAATGACAACACCATCACTGTGCATGCATTCCGCAGCTGCTCCTGGGTCTGGACTGGACCAATGGAGGAGAGGCGGGGAACGAGCACATCACCTCAGGCCTGTAGTCTGATTCCACCATCCCAGCATTCTATGGTCATATATGAAATACAGGTCCGTGCAGTGTCATGGAGTGCTGGTTATTGTGGATATACACGTACCTGTCTACAGTGCACAGTCAGTCTGTGTGTGAGGCTGCTGATCACAGAGCTGTCATCTGAACAGAGCTGATCCTATGAGCTCAGCAGGACTCTGTTCATCTTCATCCCTCTAGAACCCAGAGAGGAGACAATTCACACACATTAACTGTCGTTATCCTCACCATCTCCCCTTTAACAAAGCAGGTGAAAAATCTCAGAGTCTCTGCTGCCTGTAAGGATGGAGAGACGCGTTTGTCGCACAAACACTGCGATGATGCTCGGTTCCGTCGCCTCCTTCTCCACCATCACCGAGGATGACGAGGAGGAGGAGGAGAGGGAGGAGAAGGATGCGGAATCAGCGCTGCTCCTCAAACAAACAAATAAACAAAGAAAAAAACAAAACAAAGCATCGCGATGCCAACGATGAAGATGTATGTCGCTCACCCGTCACCGTCCATCTGCATCCGGTATTTCATGCGAGCAAACACAGCTCCAGAGTTCCTGCCCAGCCCTGCTTCGAAGCTGCTGTACTAGTGCGTCTTAGCCAAGAGGTGGCAGTGTGGTCATGTAGAAAGCGCACAGGCAATTACGTAATAGTGAGCTTAAAAAGTGAAAACTTACAATGTAAATACAACTAATAAAACTATGATAATAACAAAAACAACAACCACAACAATGATAGCAGCGATGGTAGTAGTATACTAGTAGTAGTATAACAGTTGTATAGTATTATAGTAGAAGTAAAAAAGATGATAAGATTTTCATAACAAAATATCTACAAACTCTATTCAATCAATGGCGTCTTTACTATCTTGACTATTTTGAAAAAACAGAAAACAAAACATCGTGTATGAAATAATTTAAAACAAATGGGAGTAGCAATTGTAGTTACGAACACTAGATGGTGCCAAAGTACCAAACTGTGACGTGCTAAAGCGCATTAAAAGTCAAAACGATTGATGGGGACAAGTCACCATCTTCATCTTTATCTTCACCACCACCATCATCATCACCACCATTTTCGTCACTGTAAAACACATTTATTGCGGAATACTATTTTTTATACCTTTTTCTGACTTGAAAGGAGAAATCCTCCACTCTCCTGGATTCGGACTCATATCTGCAGGGGGATCAGTCCGACCAGCAGTTGTTCATAGATTTCTTCAGACTCAGCGAATCTTTACACATTTTTTTATTGTTCCTGAAAAGTAACAGAACTTAGTTAGTACTAAGTACTAACTTAGTTAGTACTTTTCACACCTTTTTACACTGCATCTCACAGTCAAACACCGAGCCTCTGGTGGATGCTACATTTACGCTAACATGCTAACATTTCCCCACCTTCGTGTCAATCATCTGCACTGGGTTCACATTTGTTGTACTTTTTAAAATATTTTGTCAACTTTTAGTAGTAACAGTAGTAACATTTAACAAATATCTGCTCAAAAATACTTACAGGTGAGAAAATTAGGATTAATATATTTAGCTATTATTAGCTAACGGAAATGACCAAACCTTGTGTTTGAAGTACACAAACGTACTTTTCCTTTAAGAGGAGTAATGAAGACGAGAGTTTAAAATTTACAACTTAATAAAATACTACAACTGTGTTAGACACAAATCTAGTGAAAAACTTTGCAAAACATTTAAAATAATTTAAATAACTGCTACATATTCAAATTAGTTACTCCAGATATGAATAAAGGGGGGGCGTTCGATTTTTCCTCCATCGCATTCCTGTCGCACAACAACGATCTTTGATTCGTCTTCACCTCTTCTCTCTCTCTCTCGCTCATTCTCGCTCTCCCCCTAAGTCCAGCCCCCTTGATCTCCCATGTCCACTGGTGTCTTTGGTGTCTCCCCCTCCCGCCCCCTCCTCTTCTATAGGTAGTCCATAATGACTGTCCATTGGTCTTTATTATGGCCTGCCCCCCCTCCCTGTGCTCGCTCTTGGCCCTGCCCCTGTTTTCTCGGGCTCAGTCTCACAGTCCGTCTCCTGACGTTCAAGTTCGCAGGAACGTCACGTCCGCACTTGAACTTGCAGCCCAGGCTGGTAGTGGTGGTGGAGGTGGTGGTGATGGTGGTGGGGGCTTCTCCTCTCTCCGCGCACCCCCCCACTCTGTCTCTCCCTCTTTCTCCCTCATCATCATCATTACTCTGTCTTTGCGTAAAAGTCATGAAGAGCTCCGCACAGCCCGCTGCTCCTTCTCCTGCTCCTTCTGCTCCTGCTCCTTCTGCTCCTGCTGTTGCGCGCTTCGCCTCAGCCTCTCTATGATCCAGCGTTTCTCTGCTTTTCCTCGTTTTTTTTAACCTCGGTGGATGTGACGGGCATCAATGAAGACACTTCCCACGGAGCCTCGGACCTTGTTGTAGGAACTGGATTTCCCAATGTGAACTCACGCAGCTGAGGAGCCGCCGCTGAACCGACATGTCTCGCCGCAAACAAGGCAAACCCCAGCACTTGAGCAAACGGGAGTTTTCGCGTAAGTGGGCTCGACTCAGATTGTTTTGGTTCTGTTCTGACCTCCGGTCCTCGTACCCGCAGCCCTGTGATCACTGTTCTACACTTTAGAGAAACTTACGTAGCTCTTTGGTTTGGAGCGCGCACGGAGCCAGCGCTGTTCCAAACGCGCACGCACTCCTAGATGAAATGGTTCTGTCACGGTTTTACAGCAGCCACGGCTAGTTCTGGTTACGGTGGTTTATTACGGAGCCGTACATGTTGAATTCGTTCTCTGTTAGTGGGTGTGAGTGGTCTTAATGGTCTGAGACCTCCGCCTCTGCTGCTGCTGCTGCTGCTGCTGCTGAGAAGTTTCCAGCTGCCGTCTTCAGTCCACCACTGTCCCCTCATCTGTGCGGGGACATGTTCACAGAGGACTGAGGTGGTTTGGACCCCGGAGAGTGTGTCTCACATGTCCACTCGTGCTTTTGCGCACAGAGCTCGTGTCTGTGTTGGACTGGGATGAATGTTCGTCTGTGCCGCTGGTCTCTCCGAGCAGCAGCAGCAGCAGCAGCAGCAGTTTAACCACTTTTTAACGTGAAGACAGAGCGTGTTGCACCGTGGATTAATCCACCGGGAGTTTCCACTGGACCCCCGCTGTATGAAGCTCAGGGTTTCGTGGGCTGATATTTTGAATCCCGGCCTGAGATTGTTGGATGATGAAGATGATGATGAGGTTGATCATCGTCATGTGTGTTTGTGGTGCAGCGCATATTTTTGTGACCCTTGCTCATTTCATTTCTCACCGTTAGATACTTTTTGCCTTGCTCACCACGGGCCGTAGAAAACTCTCAAAATTATTATTATTTTTTATTTGATCCAGATTTGCTGAAGTTTTACCATAACACGTCAGCATCTCTGTCGATATTTCACCTCCAAGTCTGGTCCTGAACGACTGAAACCAATTACGCGCTGCCAACATGTACAGTCTGCTTTCATTTTTCATGGATAATTATTGGCGAAGTGTGCCAGTGGGGGGCGCAACGCGATTGTTGTCCCGTGGTGCAATTGTGAACTTGAACTTGATCCACTTAATTCCTGCGCAATGGAGATAACCAGAGAGATTTAAGATCGTGTTTGATAGAAATATGCTTTGTTTTCATACTTTGGTGAAAGCAGAAAATAATCTGAATCGTGCCGGAAATAAATAGATAAAAATAAACATGAGTTATCTTCAAACATGCAGTGGTTTAATAATCTGTGTCTCATTATGTAAACTGTAACTGAGTCTAAGATCATCCCTACGTTTTATATAACGTTTATTTTTAATTAAAATGTTAATTTAACTGTTTACTTTTTACAGTTGTTCTATTTTCTGTGCTCTCCTGGTGAAAACGGACACAACCTGACGTATTAGCACCGAGAATAAATGAGGGGTATAAATCAATTTATTTAGATTTAAAATAATAATAATAATTATTAAAAGACTAAACGAACAGTCTAATTATATTTGGATTATTCTAGAACAGTGAAACAAAAAAGCCTAATGGGTTTCCTCTGAAACTGGAGTCGTTGTAACGCTGCTTTTAGCTGTGTGCATTCCATTTTTAAAAATGTTTACTTATTTTTTATGGGTTGTTTTTATACCTTATTCACTTCAGTGCCTTCGTGACTTTAATTCAGGTGTAATTCACATTTTCAACTACTTTTCCTTCTTTAAGAAGAGTTTGGTTAAACTCTTAGAAATGTTTTGGAAACTGTCTAAATTAACAGTTTTTCATTCTATTTTCATTCTTTTAGAAGAATTTTTTAAAATTAATATTCATTTTTTGTATTGATTTAAATACTTTACACAGAACCTTTTTGAACTATGTGTTTTAAAATAGTTTCTTAAATAAAATGAATAAACTTTATAAAACATAAACCCATTAGTTAGTTATAGTCAACATTAAGGTACTCAAATATCAAATATATATATATTTATATTTATGTTAATATTTTTAAGTTTTACATGTACAAAGTCAGTCAGGGTTTTAAAACTCTTAAATTTAGAACAAAAATATTTTTAAAATATTTTTAAAATGTCTAGTACAAAAATGTAGTTCCTCTCTGGACCCTGTAGAGGTCACGAACCTCTGACCTAAAGTATTCCGGGACCTGGCACAGCTATCTGATATAAAAAGTCTTATATAAATTATTTCTTTTGAAGAATGTATTAACATCACTTTGACTTGGAATCAAAAGAAGATTATGTGGGGAAAAAAAAAACCCCAATCTCTCCTCGTCCCCTCGTCCCCTGACCCTGCCTCTAACATCATGTCTGCGTCCACGGCACATATCAGCTGGTTAAAGATAAGCCTCAGTAAAATACATGAACCTATTTCCTTCATCTTTAATGCAGTTGAACAGAAATAAATCTGACCCCATACAGAATTAAAGGTGCAAGTGTTGGGACAGAATTCATCACATCTTATCTCCACACCCCAGTCGGGTCGTCCGGTCCACTTTACCGGCCGGCGATGTCGCCTCTTTTTTTAAAAAAGAAAAAAAAAAAAAGCCTTCTTCCTCTCTCACCCTCCCTCACCCTCTCTATCTCTCTCTCCTCCTCTCCTGTCTGTCAGTTCTTCAGGGACCTACTCCACATCCAACCCCTCAACGTCTAACCTTGGTTCACAAGATCCCAGCACTTTCAGAGAAACGGGGTCCAATCATCTTGAACTCAAATTAGAATCTATTTTTTGATTCTCAGAGGAGTTAGGTTCATTAAAAAGGAGAGATTGGCAGCACAATAAAGAGGGTCAAAGCCACTCCGACGTTCTGCTGCTGCTGCCAGAGAGCTGAACGTGTGTCAACAAAGTACACCCTCCTCTCCTCTCTTCTCCTCTCCTATTCTTTTCTCTCCTCTTCTCCCTTTCTTTCCTAATTCTAGGGAAAATATTTTCTGATATTTTGGTTAATTTTTGTCATTTTTCTCTTACTGTGAGGATTTGCGGGTGTTCTCGGCCTTTGGGTGAAGTCATCTTTGGCTAATTATAAAAAACAATAAGAGAACATCAGGCAAATGTCCAATTACTGTTTGCATATCGTTAGCTGTTTTGACCTTCTGTCTCTTCTTCCTGTTGTTAAGTCTACTGATTTATCACATTTATTCTTGTGTTGTGTAACAAAGTACATGTTAATCTTCTTCTTAACTGACTTTTAGCTGCTTTTTTAAAAGATCTTTGAATCTTTTATACATCTGGTTCTCTACCGTTGATGAAACTTTCATTTATATATTTTTATACACATTTAAGCTTTTATCTTTTATTTTCTGGGGCTAACTTTGATAGTTTGAATTTGACTTTTTGTAATTCTACATTTTAAAGCTAATAATGTGACGTAGACCTGTCTGTGTTTGGACAGTTACCGTACTGTAGCAGTGTTTGACGTTTCTTATCTCCGCCTCCTCCTGCAGCTGAGCCGCTGTCAGGCGTTCTACCAGAGGAAGACTCTCAGGACTCCCCCAGACTTGGAGCAGTTCCGGACGATCCCCTAAAAGGGGACCAGGACCTGCTGACCTGCGGCCAGTGCCACTCCCGCTTCCCCCTCGCTGACATCTTGCTTTTCATTGAACACAAACGTAGGCAGTGCCACGGCAGCCTCTGTGCGGACAAACCCCTGGACAGGCCGCCATCCTCCCCGCTCGCCTCACCCCTCTCCACGTCCTCGTCCCACTCACGGACCACCCATCAACACCCGCGCAGGGCGTGCCACCCGGTGGAGGTGGCCATTCAGGTGTCGCCGCAGGATGAGGATTGTTTATCCACTCCTTTGCAAGGAATTATCCCCAAAACGGAGCACATCACAGGTAAACACACACACTGGTGTAAATAACGGCGTCCAGAGAGGTGGCGCTCTCTGGGCCTCATTTCCAGGGAGGACAACTGCTCCTCATGGTGTGTTCGAGCGTGGTCGGCTGCTCCCTGTAGGATGTGTTGAATATCTGCTGCTTTTAGAAGCTGCTCAGGTCGAAGACAAAAACATGATTGTGAGAAAAGGAAACATTTGAAAACAGGAGCCATAAAAAGACACACACAGAGATGGACAAAGAAGGGGATTATGAGAGCGAGAGAAAGGGAGGGAGGAAGTAAAAAAGAGAAAGAAGTTTTTTTTTTTTGTATTTGGTTTGTTGCTGCATCACAGATGTGCCCAGATCCTGTGGCCTCCACTTTCTCTCTCATGTGGTGACGGGAGACTCATCTCCGTCCCTCTCTGCCTTATTACCCTGTCATATCTGCCTCCACTTCAAATATGAGCCTCGCTATGATGCTAAAATTAAAAATGAGACAGGAAAAAAATGTAATTATGATGATGTGAGGAGACTTAACGCCACTAATTGTTGGTGTTTATTTCTTGATCTGAGTAATTAAGGACTTCTTAAGGGCTGCTGTTTGGTTTGTTGGTCGTCCACTGAGACTAAATGAGGCTGTGGTGCCAGAGAGTCCAAACTATTTGTTTTAAAGGGGGAGGGACAGGTTCTTCATTGTAAAAATCACATTCAGGTGCTAAGAATAAAAGTAAATATATTTCATTTAGTACGTGACAAATATTATTTTGTTTGAATGCTAATGAAATGATATAATTTTTCGAAAACATTTCACCTTTCTTTTAGTAAATACAGGAAACTGTCAGGAATCTGACCTTAGCGAAAAAATAATGATTTGTTTGCCAAAAAGAAATAAGAAATAATGTTTTTTTCAACAAGTACATTTGAACACATTTTCAGAGCAATATAGATGTAAAAACATTAGCAAAAAAATAACTAATGATTGTGTTGCAGTCGAAACATTCCAAAATACTACGGACACACACATACTTGACATGGGCCACGGACGACTGGTCATGTTCCATATATAGTCCCTGAGCTGGACTTTGGACACACACCTGCCATGGTACATCTGTGACCCTTTGTGCCGACTCATTTCTTTGTGACTTGTGGTCTTTGGTTTGGACCGGCCCAATGGTTTATTTCTCTTCAACAGATCAGATGTTCTGTGTGCCAGAAGTGAGCGCTGATTTAATTTGACTCCAATTCAGCCTCTAATCACACACAGGCGCTAATCGCACACACAGCCGTTTTCAAACAGTCTGCTCCGCTGTCCAGCTCTGGACGGTGCTGCGGCTTTACAGACGGCTGAGTAAATGGACGGCCCTTATCTGCCGTTGGCCCTGTCGCTGTACAGAGTGACCACTGTTCATTAGTGCGTACTTACTGAAGCATCACACACACACACACACACACACACACACACCCTGTAAATTGGACATGCCTCGCGGCCCTGTCAGCTGTTTTGAACATGTTTTCTTTGCTCATTTTCTTCTCGGTGCAGCAGAGTTCACATGATATCATGAGGTCACTCACGTTGTGAGCAGTGTCTTATTTATAGGCCTCATGTCTCTGGACATTGTGTAACGTCCTGGACTTATTGGGGTTAATAATTCGACCAATCAGCTGCTTGTACCTCAGTCATTTAAAGAAACATGATTGAAGCAGTGAGGGTTTTTTTTTTTTCTAGGTCAAACAGAAGGTGCAGTGCAGCCACTGTGCACGCATGACAAAATACCCATTAGTCACATATGAAGAAATGTGGACGGCCTCACCCTGCCTCCCCCCAGCCTCCCCCCGCCCCTGTGTACAGGGCCCAAGATTGATTGGTCCAGACTGGCAGTGCCAGCGCACCACCCTGTAGTCCATATGCTGGCTGCCATGTTCTCTCACACTGCTCAGTTAGAGGCTGACACTGTGCTGAGGCATCTCAACAAGCACCCCCCCCCCCCCCCCCCCTCATGTCCAGTTCATTTCAGGCCAGTGTGTTATATGTAACACCCGTAAAGATTTACTGTATGCATCTGCACTGTGTACGCCCTCACCCCCCCCCCCCCCCCCCCCCACACACACACACACACACACTCCTCCCAAAATGGTAATCAGCGCAGATGGATTTCTTTAGGGGCAACAACTTAAACAGTCAGGGGGTGAGCCAGCGTCAGGAGTGAGGCTGCGACTCAGGAGATAATCCTAATCCAGGTCCATGAGTCGGAGAATGATATTTCACATTTGTTGACTCGTAGTAGAGCAGAGAAACGGAGGAAACACTCGTGTGGTTGGGTCTAAATTAAAAACTACTGTGGAGGAGAGTGAAAAACTCCTGAAGGAGAAACGTTAGATTTCAACTAGGAATGTCAGTCAATTTTGGACTAATTATAATAAATCATAATTAATCGTGATTGTAATTAATCACGATCACTTGTTAAAGTCGGAGCTGCCGATGATCTAATGCTGTTGGGGCTGTTTTGGTTGTTATGGTTATCAGAATGCCGACCCTACTTCACACGTGTACTTTTGTAAATATGACAAACGAGTGTAGTAGAGAGTACGTTTCCTACCTGTGTTTTGTTCCACCGGAGCTGATGTTCTGTGATGTCACGTGGTCGACCACCGGCCTCTGGCGACAGAAAACAACAGGAACATCATCAGTGACATCCAGTCAGTTTCACCCACCGATTGACATTCAGTTCATCAGAATATTTTTCCAATACGTTCAGTGATTCCAGCGGCAGCGCTCCGTGTCACTCGATTGTTCTCCGTGTGTGACGTGTGGTTGGTTCAGTGGAACCACATCAGCACGACAGATGAACATCTGGATTGAATGATAATCCAGATGTCCAGAGTGTGAATCTCCAGTTAACGTTCAGAGCAGGACACATATTTCTGACGACGACGGTAAAGTTACAGAACTGTTGAGTCACTGCTGTGGAAATGGTTTGGAAAACACTGAAAAGTACATTGATTTTCATGCTTTTGTAGAAGAACAAAACTGTGAACTTGCCATAGCACAGTCATGTGTGTTTGTGTGTGTGTGTGTGTGTGTCCGTTCTTGGTAGGTTCATTGTAAACTAACAAAGGGAGGTGTAAAGTGGGAGGAGGGGCATGATGCTGGGCATATACTGTCATCTCAGAGTTGGTTGAGAGACGAGGTGGGGGCAGCGGTGTGTGTATCCCACCCAGATCTGGGGAGTCATCTCCTGCTTAACCTCTCGGTCGCTGTCTGTGTGGGACAGCTGAGGCCGTCTGGGAGCCTCGTTGCTGCAGCTGGGGTCGGGGTCTGGAGTCTGGACCTGGGAGCCGTTAGCAGAGGGTGCAGCGCAGCCGTCATTTGCATGATAAACAATTTAAGATATGCACAGGGCCACCGTAGCTTGTCTCCAGATTATGGATGGCCCAGAAATAGAGCAGATGACAGTTTCTCACACCGTCGCTGTGCGATCGCTGGCTGGTGTAAAACTGAATTTATTCCACGGCACATAATTACTTTTAAAGGAGCGCGCGGGTGAAGTAGATTCATTATTCCACAAACTAAATGGGATCGTTATCTTGGCGATAAATGATTGTTTGTTTCCCCAACACTGAAATTGCAGCCAGATGCTTTTTATTGTTATGATTTAGGATGAACAACTGCACCACTGCATACATGCCCCACATACCCTAATTACCCCAGTGTCTTTACAAATTGTGTCTCATTTCTATTTCTCATTGCGTGAGTGTGCAGCCACTTTCCTTTGCTCACACTGGCCCATTGACAGTGACCTGTATTCATCCTTCCCGCCGCTGGCACCTCTTCCCTTCGCAACGACGCAGCCGCACGTGGTAATGAGGCCATTGTCGCCGGCGTCTTACACCCCTGCCTCTTTCCAGTGCAGCGCCTCCATTCAGACCTGTACTCTGAATCGATACTGAGATAATGACGCCGGCCACCTTTCCCCGTCTCTTTGCTCTCGGCGAGGAGGAAAACATCCTAGAACCGAGTCAGTACTACTTCCTCACACCCCTCCGAGGCTGAGGCGTGTTGCACTCTCCTGTTTGTCCATGTGTGTTGTGGAGACAAAGGTATTTAGCAGGCTCTGTATTGGCACTCTGCCACCTTTCTCCAAACCCACCCCGCCTCCTCCCCCCGTCCTTCCCCCTGCCTCCCTCGGTCTCATCAGCACACACATATATACACATTCGGCACACTCAGGCAGAACTGGGGCAACGGGGAGTACATTAGGAAGTGTGTGTGAGTGATGGGTGGCATGAGGCTCCCTGATACTGATGTCTTTTTATCTGTGTCCACTGTGTCTTCAGTCTCTTTATGTGTGGACATGTGTTTTGTACCTTGTTTTCATTCATTTTAAAAGTACCAGTAAATGAACAATAGTGCAAAAACATGGTGGTTTGACAACAAACCTGAGTTGGTTTTTCAGATGATCTCAGTGGTATGAAAATGAAAGTTTGCAGTGGGTGCTGCCAGTTGGTGTTCACTGAAGAGGGACGTGTGGACATACAGTATCTGGCGTAGAGAGCCATTGGGTTGGAAACTCCCACAAATGTTGTTGCTGGAGATTTGTCAGCCTGTTGTTGTTGTTGTTGTTGTTGTTGTTGAAGTGTTTGCGGCCGAGGCTGCACTTCAGTGCTGACATCTAGTGGATGTTTACACCTCCTATGAGGACGCGGTGTTAAACTAACGTATGCTCGTATGTGCACACGTGTGTGTGTGTGTGTAGTTGGGACCACTTAAACCATTGTGTGTGAGAGGGAGTGTGTGTGTTTGTGTGTGTGAGTCTGTTAAAGCTTTACTACCCTGGGTGTGCAGGCTCAACATGAAAGGGTCTTTGACTTGGCAGGCTTCGCCTCAGGACACCCCTCTGTGAGCCATGCCAGGGCAGACTTGGCACAGAGTACTGGGCCTGAGGGATGGGCTGGGCCTAAGTATGTGTGTGTGTGTGTGTGTGTGTGTGTTAGGGGGGGTTCGAGGTAGTATATCTGAG